CCCCCCCCCCCCCCTGATCATAATGACGCTTTCGGAGGCGTACATGTCCTTTAGATTTCGGAAAATCATAATGGCGAACTAAGAGCAGTGGCACTCTTGTTGTCTCCTGTTCGGGTAGATCAGACTATCAGCAGAAGCGTGTATGTGTGATCCCATAATGTACACTGCGTGTTGACCATAGAAGTTAGATTTCTTTTCGCCTACCTCAAAGTAGACCAACTTCCGGTCCACAATACCCACTCCGATTTATATTGTAGGTTTCGATTTAGAAAATAAACAAAGATGTTCTCTTAGATTTATTTTGCTGGTAGATGATAATGATGTGGACAGTAGTGTGTATGTACGTTATTGGTGTTCTGTCACTAAGTGTACGTGTGCCCCGAATGAATATCTCACCTCTTTTCATCATCATCATCATCATTACATATGCATATGTGTTCACTAGTGAATATGTTATCTACTGTCTGTTTTTTCCAGGCCGATCTACAAGGTGAACATTTCCTGTCAGATCTTGCCTGGGCTGTCGCACGTCCAATGGCCTTGAACGCAGTCATGCGCGTTCGGACTAGTGCAGGAATTAGACCAGTGGAATTCTTCGGCAATTGTCACGTTCCCAATACAACAGATATCGAATTGGCCTGTGTGGATCCGGATACGTCCATCACTCTGGAGCTGCGTCATGATGACAAATTGCAGGACAATGATTTAGTGTTTATCCAGGTATGGCTTGCCGTTCAATCCCGCTTTCTCATATATTTGCTTGATTTAGCATAATAGTCACTTTGCAAGTAGTCAAACACCGATCAAGTGTAAATAATAACTCCTTCGCGGCCTGTTGCTATTTCCGATCACAGCAGTAGGAGATGCTTGTTCGAGTTAATCAAGCCCCAACTCATACACATACACATACACACGCACACCATTCGCTGTTACTTGTACACAGGTTTAATCATTTATCCATACCGTGTCGTTTCTCTCTGTTCCTTCATCCAACTAGGAGGCAAAACATAAGAACCAAAACCGCCTCACGAACGTTCATGGTTAATGGTTGTAAAACGTGTGAACCGTATCGCTTGTCAGGCCAGAGGGAGTGTAAATTCCTTACGTCCGTTGTCGATCACCCAATAGTTTTGTGGAAAATACCTGTTTGCATTACTGAATGATTTTCTTTTCGCTGCTTCAATGTTCCACGCCCGGCTGTTGCTGTTATTGCTGTTTGATGGAAAAGCGCTTTGCAATTGGTTAAAAAATAAACACGTATACACGAGGACCACGATTGGATACACAGAGTTTTGTTTCCTCTAGGCTAACCTCGGCATGATCCTAACCGAAGGTTAGAGATATGGCTGGGTGTCGTAAACAGTGGCATTCTTGCATCTTCTCAATTTCTTTGCAGCCATAGTTTACTGGAGTTCTGAAATCTCTCTTCGACTCCACTTTCATCCTCGTTGTCTTTCTCCTACTGCTTCATCCAAATGGGCAACAAAAACCGGCTCACGATAGAGCACGATTAATGGTTGTGCAAACTGAAACTGATCTTTGCCCCGAATAGCCAGTGAACATCTGAACGATTCAGCTCTGACTGACTCGGTCGCAAAATCGGATAATTTTGTTCGCAAATTTGATATAACCGATTGCCATGTTACCTGTGATGTTTGCCTTTATCTCAAATCCAATAAAGTTGAACAATTCGACGAACAAATTCAACAATAGCTTTTCGTCCCATAAATGTCCCACGGATTTCTCATCTACTTCGATTCAGTTTGAAATTGTGTAGTCATTACGTGGTCAAGCCACCGATAGTTTTGCTTACAAATGAATACTTCGATGCGTTTTAGATTGTGGCATCTACGTCGCATTTTTTTCTGCAGGTAGTTTGCCCTTCTAGCGGAGTTTGTTAGTGAATATTAGACGTCAGTGATCCCGCAACTCCAGTTTCTGTACATCCTGGACGCACAGCGACCAGCTTTCGCATCCTTGCCGAATAACGAAGCGTGCAAAGCTTAGTAGACCCACAATCTGGTCTCCCTATTTTGCACCGCGGTATGTCCCTTACTTGTCATTGTGCAACCTCTAATCTTCCACTGATTCTGATTGCCGATTTTCTGGCTTCATATTTCTTCACATACTGAGTAACTTGCGCATATTCTTATATAAAACAAAAGTCAAACGAGAGCTCTTGTTTCATAGAATATTTCACAGCTGTGTGGTTAGTCCATGTCCATTTTCACTTGCACACCCGAATTCACTCGGTTGTTTGCTTTCCGGAACACCTATCAACCACTCCTCCTCCTCGAAACACAGGCTGCGTGTTTGTACACTTCGCTGTCCGGTCAACGTCGCCTGCGCATTCACAATCTGTCTCTCAGCACAACCGGTTCCATTCCCGAAGTGGTTCGTATTGCTGAACTGGACACACACATGAATTGGCTCGGCAAATTCGCAATGCGTGCCCTGTGCTCTCGGGCTCATCCGCACGTGTCCGATGAGATGACCAGCCGGGTCGCGCACACGCTAGCCGCCTATCGACGTCACTGTTCCGGTGGACCGGGTGATGTTGGTGCGAGCCCCGGTGAACTGGTCTTGCCACAGAATATGAAACTGTTCCCGTTGTACGTGCAATGTCTGATGAAGACGGACGCATTCATGCCAGGTTTGTTAGACCGAAAGTTGCTCATTTTTATTGCTCGTTCCAGTGGTGGTGGTGGTGTTTTGCGCCCTGTCCTTTATCAGACCTGCTTTACTCGCCTTTTCATTCGCGTTCATTTGGTGTCAATCATGTGGGGTAAAGGCATAGGCAATTTCACCTTTAAAAAGGAAATCAGGATGAAGGGCTGCGGAGTAGAGGCATCGCAACCGGTCCATTTACGGCTCCTTTGTTAGGTCAG